GATAACCCCCACCAGCAGCACTGCCTCTCAGGGCTTAGCAGGGCAAAAGACGCAAGCCAGAACCCCCCCCTCTTTTTTTTCTTCTTTTTCTGAAACCTTTAGTTTTAAAACCATTTTGAATCAGTAGAAGGAACACTGAGAAAGACAAGTTTGCACTCTGTACTTTTGCAAAGCCCTGGTAATTCATGTCAGTTAGGTATTATCAGCCTGCAAATCCTGGCTCAGAGCTCTCGCACATCAACAAAACACTTCTTATTTCTGTCACGTGCAGATGTGTGGATAACATCTGAAATATAGTGTTTCTCTAGCAGAAGTGCAAATGGAACAAAATATTTGACATTAGCCGAGCTCATATCAAGCTTCTGTTTGTTTCTTAGGATTTAGCTAGAAGTTTAAAAAAAGCCTTTTTGCTTTTTTCACCCCCTTCAAATCTCAGCCCTGTATTGCAGTCTGCATCCCCCAGGAACAGCACTGCCTGCTCAGGGCTGGCGCTGCCTTTGTCCTGTAATTGAATTGAACCAGCTCTTAGACCTCTTCCTCCCAGACAGCCCTATCATGTGAGTGCACCGAAGATGTATTACACTAATACCTCATCAGAACGACAGAGCTATGATGATACATTAATGCAGTACATCTCTGTGGCTTTGGGGCTGTCCAGGAACGATAGGACTGGCGTTAGGCTCCACTCAGTCCTATCACACTCATGCACACACCTCAAGGGCAAGGGAAATATGCGTGTGAAGCAGAAGGAGGCAGGCATGAATACATTCCAACCTAACATCAGAGTAGTTACTAAGAAAGTGCAGATCTCCTCAATATTCATGAAAAAAACCTGTTATTCTGTGTGTGCTCAACAGTTCTTCCTTTGGTTGGGTGGTTGTTTTTGGGAAACACTTCAGTGCCACCTTTCTCTGGGAATGAGACTGGATGAACAGGGTACTCAAACCTACACTACCAAACGTGTGTGTGTATATGAAATGTTGATCCTCGTATTTCAGGAAAAAAATGGAAACTGGACTAGAAGTGATGGTAACAAAATGTTGGGAAAGGACAGACAGTAGGGAAGGTTTAGAATGGGTGAAACTGGAAGTCACTAGAGACCATAGACTGAGAACCATAAAGGCTGGAAAAGATCCCCAAGATCAAGTCCAACCATCAACCCATCACTGCCATGCCCAGTAAAAATGTCTCTTAATAGCACCTGAGTGGTGACTGCTCTCCCACTGGGATAGCAATGTGAACTGGTGCCACTGGCCACCACACTAGGACAGAGGAAGAATCAACCAAGGGAGGTAACATCTACATCAATGAGGAGAACGTAATTACTCACTGCATCTCCCTGCCACTAGATTGTCTGAGACCAACTACAGCCACAGAATCACAGAATGGCTTGGGTTGGAAGGAACCTCAAGGATCATGAAGCTCCAACCCCCCATCTCCACCCACCACATGCAGGGCCACCAATCTCCCCATTTCACAGCAGCCCAGGCTGCCCAGGACCCCATCCAACCTGGTCTTGAACACCTCTAGGGTTGGAGGGGGCATCCACAGCCTCTCTGGGCAGCTGTTCCAGCACCTCACCACTCTCATAGCAAAGAACTTCCCCTGATATCCAACCAAAATCTTCCCTCCTTCAAATTAAAATCATTTCTCCTTACTAGGATGTATTTGAAGGATGTTAGGACAATTGAGGAACACTGAACATAAACCCAGAAGGAAGGAGGAAAGAGATGAAAGAGATGAAGAAGGATACATAAGTCCCAGTGTCTCAGAATTCATATTTCTTCAGTGTTCTACAAGTTCTGCAGTTGATCCTGCTATAATCTGCCTTGTAGGGGGTGGGACAAGGTAGGGGATGGGCTGCATGCTGCAGTGGGAAGCCAGAAGAGACTGTTGCATATGATCAAGAAGGGGTAGTCAACACTACCACGCTGCCATAGAACTACACAGAAGAAGGAGGTTCCTCTACTCAGTCACTACTTTTTCCTGCAGCTCTGCAACTCGCTAGCAAAACGTACACTACCACGTCCATTTGCACTGAGCTGCTGCTCTGTCCCTGTGCTGCACGCAGGGGTGGCCGTTGGGCAGTGCAGTGCTGGGGTTGCTGGGGTCCTGCAGTGCTGTGCACAGCCAACCATGCTTATCAGTGCTGGCAGCGCTGTGGCTCACACACAAACCAGCCGGTGTTTGTGTGAGATGTGTGCAGCTTCATCTAAAGCCGCTTGTTGGAAGTAAGACTGTGAAGCTGAGCACTCCATGCAAAGCCAAAGGTGAAGCTGCTCCTGCAGTTGTGGCTGCTGCTCTCTGTATGTGTACACAGTGCAGTGTGCCCAAGGCCCTGCGCAGTGCAGCCCAGCACCGGCTGAGCTCTGCTTCTCTAAAGCATGTAACCTGCTTTGCATCTAGACAAACCCTGGGCTCCCCCTTCTCCTCAGCAGCCACAAAGCGGCAGTGCTGGAGTGCAGGGTGCAGCCTGCACGGCCCTGAGCTGCGTCAGGAACCTCCCCGTGGAAGGTCTGGCCAAGAGTGAGTTGGGAGGAAGCTTCCATGCGTATGGCACCAGGGTTCTGCACAGCACTAACATCTCGAGTCTTCCGAATGGCTTTTGTTGTTACTGCTGGTGGCAGTGTTTGCAGAGTTGCTTCTCAGAAATGGAACTGTAGCAGCGTGCTGCGCAAACAAGTGTGAAGAACTGGAATTACGTTTCTAGCAGACCTTAATTCTTTAAAATTCTGGTTTCGTTCTTAAACTATTGATGCTGCACTTTGCTCCTAAATGTCAGAACAAAATAAGTAATACCTGCAATTTATTCCGATGACATTTCAACAATACCAGATTTTCAGATTACAAACCGCGGCGACGCGTTCCTTATGGTGCTGTGCTGAATGTGTAGATTTGGTGGATTTACATAATGGCTTTGCATAATGAATATTTATATAATGAATGCATTTCCATAATGACTGCAAGTTAAACACGCACTGTAAAGATTACAGGGCAATAATTTATGTACTAAGTTAAAAATCACCTCTAAATACATTTTATTTTTATTCCTCCAAAAAGTTCATTTTATCTCTTGTTCGGAAAAATGGAATCTGACCCAACCCGAGTAAAGGCTGCATCGATGCAAATCACGATAATATTTTGGCATTAGTCTACATTGAATCATTTGTATTCTGAGTTTTCCATTTCTTATCTTCCAGCAGCAGCTCTGACAAACAATTTCAGAATATTACAAATGCAATTCTTTAATATAATTTAGCACTGTGTTCTAGATGCGACACTTGTGTGTAATCCTCATTAGCGCCACCGGGAATTACGGGGGGGAGACTGATAGAAATTACAAAGTGCAGATGAAGCTCACGTGTAGATAAAGGTAATTTGCTGCAGGCATAATACCAGCCCATACGGCAACCTGGCGTTCTCAGCTCCTGCATTTAATTGGATTTCAGGGCTGTGTGGCTGTCGGTACAGCAGGGCGTGCAGCTGAGCGCAGGAACAGCATGATGTGACTGAAACACTTGCAGCACGGACTGCACTCTGCTCACTGCACGCCTGCTCCCAGCAGCACACTGGAAGCCATGGGCTGATGTGCAGCTGCAGAGCAGAGGGGAGCAAGGCTGTACGAGCGAGCAGCAAACCTAATATGACCTCGATGCCATCCTGGAGAGAGGTGCCCACACACACCACCGTTGCGCTCCTGCCCTTAGGGCAGTGCCATCAGCACAGCACAGCCCACAGCTCACAGCCCTCCTCTCCTCCCCTGCCCTTGGGCCAACACGTGAACACAGGGCTCACTGAGAGCTCTGTTCTCCAAGCACCAGCTCTGCCAGGACTCAAGATGGGGGGGTCCTGCTCATCAGTCTGGGTGGACTCATTCTCCTCTTCTGCTATTTTCCTCTGTAGGACAATTTTAGCAGCTCCTTTCTGTAAAAACCCTAATGCTTTATGCTATTACTCTAAAGTATCACTGCAGTTTCCAATAAAATTTTATTTGACATTTAGTTAAAATCCATTTTTTGCTGCAGCCGATTTTCCCCTTGTCCCCCAATGGATACTTCCAGCAGAACTCACTGTCATTGTCTTAAAGGTCAAAAGTTAGGTTTTTTTCTGACTCTCACTTTGAAAAGGAAACTGCTGTTGGATGATGACAGCCCGCAGAAAGCAGCAGCCCATGGAGCTGGCCTTCCCTGCAGCACACGGGCCCCTCAATACAGGGCTGCTCCATAAAAACTGGCACAGCAGTGGGGATCCCCCAGGGTGGGCTGCAGGTTGTAAGGCTGAATGGGAGGGAAATCTCCTCAAATCTGTGCCGTGATATGTTTCAGCTTTCACTCCTAGAGAGCCCTTGGATTGGCTTTAGTGTGAGCTGATCATATCATAGAATCACAGCATGCCTGGGTTGCAGAGGAGCACAATGCTCATCAGTTCCAACCCCTGCTGTGTGCAGGTCACCAACCAGCAGCCCAGGCTGCCCAGAGCCACATCCAGCCTGGCCTTGAATGCCTGCAGGGATGGGGCATCCACAGCCTCCTTGGCAACTTGTTCCAGTGCCTCACCACCCTCTGGCTGAAAAACTTCCTCCTCATATCCAACCCAAACCTCCCCTGTCTCAGTTTAAAACCATTCCCCCTTGTCTTATCACTATTCACCTTTATAAACACTCACTGCCCCTGCAGCCTGTTAAAAAGGACTCCTGCTCAAACGAGCTTTGGCTCTTCAGGCTGAGACAGCCACTACCTTATCCTGTATCCCTGGGGAGCCACCCATGCCCCAAGGAAAAGCATTCCCTCTTTCAGGTGCTTTTTTTTGTCCCTTCCCACGTTACAGCTGCAGTATGGCTTTCACTCTTGTGAGCTTAAATCTGATGACGCTTTCCTTCTCTACACCTCTGGTCAGACACACATCCTGGCCGGCATGCAAAAGCAGTGCTGTCCCACCTCTGAAAGCTGTTACTGCTGGGACTCAGCAGGAAGCTCCCAGCGACAGCTCCGAGCACTTACCAGATGGAGAGATGTGTCTCCAGGAAATGGAGGGCTCTGGTTTCCCGGTGGCCAAACACACGAGAGTAACATTGCTGCCTTCGTTCACAACGATGTCACTCGAAATACGAAATATCTTCGGAGAAACTGAAAGGAAACGAGGAGAGGTTGTAAGGGAATGCCATCGAGTCAGTGCTACTGAGACAGTGCTGCCATCAGAGCAGAGGCTGAGCAGGCTGGGTCTGTGCATTGCCATGGCCACAGAACCACACAAACCGGCTGGGAGGTCACAGTGCAGAAAGAAACAACAGCAGCGTTGTGAAGGTGTGACCACAGCCATTTCAATCACGTCTGCAGCACAGCCTGGGGACTTGAAATATTGCAAATAGGAAAGCAGCAGTTTCCTCTGTTTTGTACAGAGCAGAGATTGCTATGAGACCCCAGTAAAGTGCTGCTGATGGATGGATGCTTCCATTTGTGAGAAGGCTGAGCTTTCTCGTGACAGCTTGGAAAGAAAATGTAATTAAATTTTTCTTATACTTTAAGAAAGAATGGTGTTTACATCCATGTATACAGAGGGAGTTGTATCTGTTCAACAAGGAGACCAAAACAAACACATTTGTTTCTATTGTGTTCCTTTCAGGTCTGCAGTATTTGATAAAGAAAGATTTCTTCCCTAAACCCCACTGTTCGTCCATCTGCTCATAAGGCAGAGCCCCACACGGAGCAAAAATAGCAGAGTTGTAGGGAGCCTGCAGTTCCAGAGAAATAAGAAAAGAAATAAGTGTTCCAGAGCTGTGGGGATGTGGCACTGAAGGAAGTGGGCAGAGGGCATGGGGGTGGGGGGTTGTTGGGAATCTTGCAGGGCTTTCTCAACCTCAGTAATTCCATGGCTCTATGTTTTTATGTGTCTATGTTGTGTGCTTTGGGATCCCCACCTGCAGACGTTCTCCAACCCTTCCATGGGTCCATTGAAGTTAGTGCATCAGAATGAGTCGGGGTCAGAAAACTTCAAGGAAGGTGGAAATTCCCTGTGCTTGCCCATGGCTACGCATTTGTGAGCAAAGAAAATTAAAAGTCTTTGCAGCGTATGGTTAATTAGCAAAGAAACGTTGTCCACGGGGAGTCCAAAGGTCTGGGAAAGGCCTTTCCAACTTCCTATGAGAGTGAAGGTCGGTGCTGCTATCCTTTGAAGTTCAAACAGGTCTACACACAGCCACTGAAACAGCAGAAGCCGCCTGATCTCAGCAGCTCACTCACAGAGGCAGCAGTCCCTTCCTCCTGTCCACTTGGTGCCCAGGGAAAGCACGCAGTCCTTACACAGCATTTGCAGGAGCTGAACCACACAGCCAGAGTTGCCCCCAGGCACTGACAACTCATTGATCAGAGTTCAACCCACAAGGAACCGCTGCCCCACCCCGCTCTGCACAGCCTGGTGCTGCAGGGCCGGGGCACACAGCCCTGTGCTCTGAGCAGCCCCTGCCCTGAGCAGCAGCTGTGAGCGCTGAGCACACAGCAGGAGGGATGGAGCTGCTGCCCAGCTGCCCTGAGCCTCATCCCGGCTGAGACGCAGAAATCCTTTGGAGAGAAGAATATCACAAGCAGTGCAGCAAACACTGCGGCTTTATCCAGCCTACAGCATTTGGAAAATATCCTCCTAAGCCTGAGCCACGTATTTCTTATTCCTCCAGAAAAAAAACATACTTTGGGAAGTTATGTGAAGGAATTCGGTAACTCAGCACAGCCCTTCTCACGAGTAAACACTTACAATTGGTGTCTATCTAGAATTGTGGGAATGTCTTCCAGATACAACAGATATCACAGCCTAAGACTTCCAACGGTTTCTTATTCCAGGTTCTGCACCCTTGATGGTAGAAAAATAGGGATTGGCACCTGCTTCAGCACTATTATGCAGTTCTGTGAGTGGGTTTGCACCCAGCTGCTACACGGTGCTATTTACCCCAGAAAGTTATTTGCTGTAAATGGTCACCACACAGAGGGGCCCTGGCTGGAACGTGCCCTGCTGCCCCCGTGGCACCTGTGTGCCCCACAGACACCACGGTCCTCTGGAGCTCAGCCTACGTCAGGCTCAGGGTCAGAGCAGACCCCATGTCTGTTGCCAGAGGTGGATGCATGAGCCTCCCACTCACTGCTAAGTGCATGGGCTGAGGCTAACAGGTAAAAACCTCTTAGAAGGACAGCAATGTGAATTTCAGGAGTGCTCGATTGCAGTCCTTCGGCATAAGGATGAGGCAGAAGAGCTGGCTCACATCAGCACTCAGTCAAATCTCCAAAAGGACAGGTTTCCAAAGAGAACACACTGACAGCACTGCCATAGGCAGGAACCTCGCATTGAAACAACAGGGCTTCGTCCAGCTCGCACTGATGAGCATCTCCTTTCCAAGACAAAGATCAGCACGCTCTGCTCTTTCCACCGCTGCCTCATCCAAGCACTGCCCTCCTCTGCCCCTACCCTCACATGAGGCTCTGAGCGCTCTTTCTCATCCACTGGCTCCCTTCTGTGCTCACATGAAGCACAGAACACAGCCCTGTTATCTGGGGGCAGCCACGGCTGAGCGCCGCTGTTGCCTTCTTTCCTGTAGGCTTTGGTGCTTTGTTCAAATCCCAAATCTACACTGTTTTGTGAAGTGCTTTAATTTTGATAAAACCATGTGTTCCAATGGCCAATAATCAGAAAAACTTTACCCGTCAGTGTGACGTGCAAACTGTGGTTATGGAACACGTGTGTGTGCTGGGACTGAAATGCTGCAGGTTTGGGGAGCACCTGGCCGGAGGGGCAGCTCGGGGCCATTGGCCTCAGCTCAGCCATTCCCAGCACCAGCAGCTTCCCAGGAGTTGGCCGGAAGGCTGTGCTGCAGAACTCTGGCTGTGCTTATCCTGGCAGTTCCAGGTGATGCTCACGCAGCCACTCCGGGGAAGTGCTTCCAGCAATTAAATACCCCTCACTGCTGGGAAATAGCATCTTTCTTCAAAATTGCATTTCACTAAATTCAGCTTTCAGAAATCAGATCTTATTATGTTTTTGTCTGCAAGACTGAACATTCCCCTTACTATCAAGTATCTTTTCTATGACTAAGGACCCATAAAACATGATAAATCACCTCTTCATTTTTCTCTGCAGATGATTTAAGCAGTACAAGCTTAATTTTCGTTAGGCTTGATAGATAATATTTGTTTCTCTCTTTTGAGGACTGTCTGAATCATCCTGACACGTGAACAGTGGAACACAGCGTAACAGTCTATTGAGAGCCTCACCAGTGCTGCGTGCAGAAGCACACTGTGTTATCTCAGCTCTACTCCTCTTTCTCAGTGCTGCTGTCCTCGTCCAAGCTACCATTCCTTCCATCCCCATCATATGGGCTATCGTCCCTGCCATCCCTGCTGTCTCCATCATCCTTACCACCCCTATTACCCCTACCATCCCCACCATCTGGGCTATTGTCCTTGCCATCCCTAACATCTCCATCATCCTACCATCCCTATCACCCCTACCATCTCCATCATCCCTACTACCCTCACTATCCAGGTTACTGTCCCTACTACCTCCATCATCCCTGCCTTCCCTACCATCCCCACCATCCAGGCTATTATCCCTGCCATCCCTACCATCCCTATCACCACTGCCACCCCCGTCACCCTCCAGCTCTGGCCCTTGGCAGCACTGGTGAGGAACGGCAGGTCTATGGGGATGCAGGTGGCTTTGCTGGATGTGGGGTCTTATTGCACTCTCTTGCGTTGTTAAAAACATCACTTACGTGTGGTTAGAAATGACACAAGCATTGAATTATTATTCTTACATTATTTACAAATTTCCAAATTCCTTGGGAACGATGAAGTATCCCGAGGCTCCTGCAGGCCGCATTGCACATCAGTGTGTTCCTCCCTCCTGATCACTGCCATAGGAATCTCTCTGCTCCCCGCACACCATGCAGACACGTGGGGTGCCTGGAGCAGCAGCAGGCAGAGGGGGCTCTCCGGCCAGGAGCTACAAGCATGTTTGAGCTCATAGTTCTCCCCAGAGCCCAGAGTTATACGAGCCATTATTGTGCAGGGGACTGACAGCGAGTCTGTACTTCACTGTGCCTCATTTCTCATTTTCAAGGACTGGAATTATATTCTCAGTTACATTCAAGTGCACATAAACGATGCCGCGTAATAAAGCTTACTGCTGTCACGGGAATGACTGCAGGACTGAACTGCTCCTGTAGATGAACGTGGGAGAGGATGACTTATTTCCATCACAATTTAGAGTCATGAGGCAAATAACCTGGAGTCAAAGCAGTGCGTCCAGCCTCTCTGCTGCAGCGTGTGCTGCCATGCTGCTCTCTGCTGGAACGTCCTGCCAGCTCCCAGTGCCTGCATGTCTGCATGGGACTGCAGCTGCACCCAGCTGGGAGCCTTGCTGCTTTGGGAAGCAACCCTGGGAAGGATGATGGCAAGCCCTAGCATACATTGGTTTAGTGATGTTTGTTAAAATTAAGGCCGCCAACTCCATGTTGAGATTATAACGTAGTAATTCCTCTCATATACAGAATATTGACAGTTCCAGTAGAATGTGTAAAAACTATGAGAAGAATTTGGCTATAAGCACAGAAATGTCACATGTGGGAGTTAGGAAGAGGGATTTTGCCACTGGAATTTGAGGAGTCCCTGCAATCCCCAGTACCCCAAAGTCCTTCAGCCAAACGCTGGGCTGCACACCTGGCCTCTCTATCTGTAGTGACCATTTTTGCTGGTTATAATTTCATAATGTAACAGTAAGTCAGCAGGGGGAGGGAAGATGCTACCCTCAGCAGCTCAGTGGCCGGAATTAATTCATTGGCTGCTCCACCTGTGCAAACACTGATGGCTGTGGGCAGGCAACCAGCAGTGGCACAGGGGTGTGCAAAACCTCCACTCACTGCATTCCGGGTTGTCCCGTGCCACACTCTGCAGCACTGTGCTGGAGGGCAGCAATGCTGCCTGTGAGCAGAGCTGCAGGAGGGAAGCAGCACAAATGCAGGGGCATAGCAGCACCAAGAAGTGCAGGGGTACAGCAAAAATGCAGAGGCACAGCACCAGTGCAGGGGGGTTCAGCACCAACGCAGGGAGCTCAGCACTAATGCAGGAGCACAGCATCCATGCAG